TTAGTAATTTCAAAGTATTTATATTTGATTTGCAAATAAGAGACACACGTACATCACGAGCACCCATAGGTGAAAACTGACTTTCTTACAAGCATGATTGTCTCTTTCTCCTTCGGATTGACTTCCAACATCACCAGTGTTGGGTCTCCTAGGTTTGTTTACCTCTGTGGTGCAACTCAAATTTGGTTTATTGTTCTCATTTTTCATGGCCCCAGACAAAAACTCTTATTTTGCTCTCACATTCACCTGAAACTCCAGATACATTCTGTAACTCTAGCCGTATTCAATACAATTAAAATCAAATTTCAATGCGTCAGATTTATTCTTTGCTACTCTTCAAGATTTTCCTTCTACTGGCGTACAAATATTGAACCTTCTGTGCAACTTTATTTTTGTTGCAGTTTGTTTTGTGGTGTTTTTGTTATCAGACACATTATCTTGCCATTGGTGCCTTTGCCGCATTCGCTCATTTCTGCTTCTTTAAATGGCCTCACTTTTGTGCCCTTAGTAAACTTTAAAAAAATTGTTTATATATTAGATATTTATGGTAAGATGAATATGAAAACAGGAGGAAAGAATTATAGTTTTAGGGAGAACATACCCTGATAATGACCTCTTAAATATTTGTAAAGATAGCCCTGGGCATCTAAGCCCACAAAATAGTTTATAATACAACAGCTTGATTACATAATGATACTTTAGTTTTAAAACGTATGATCTTTCTGTTTATAGGAAGGCATAATAGGCTCCTTTGAAATACAATATTTTTGCCCTGAACATAACTGATTTTAAATGAAAGGACTAACTAAAGTATGCCTTTCTTCAAGTTTGTACTTCACTTTGTTGTTGAATCCAGCGCGATGGTTTCTTTTACAAAACTTCTACCAGGCCTGGGGACCACACCTACTTCAGGATACATTCGTTGTGAAAGATTCATGGGTTTCTGTGCAGGAAGTTACCTAGTGCCATTTAAAATGGTGTGTTTCAAATTCTAAATCTTGTTAAAAACACAGAGAGAGGTATATCTGTACACTCTCTCCTTTCCCCCGCACACAAAGAAGTTCCTTTTATATTCAGTTTGTCCAATTCAATTTGAAGATACCTGCTTAGGTAGAATGCAGTGTGATTTGGGAGAGGGATTTTTTCTGTGCAATGGAAAGAATGAGGATGTTTCATTCAGGGCAGTTCATAAAACATCAGAACTACCTCAACCAATATCAAAGCCTAATATTTTTAAAACTATGTTTGGATAAATATATCACCTAAGCTCTAATTTTTTCCTGTATTTTTAGTGTTTCTCTGTACTACCTGGTTACAGCTCAAACTGCTACTGGAGCTGACAGTGAGCTGCATTCATGGTTACTTCCATTTTGGTTAGAAGCAGGAGTGCAAGAAATGTTCTTAAATAAGTGTTCTTCTAACATCTTCTGTGCAGTTACACGGAGTGTGTATAACATTTATTATTGTTCATGAATCTCAACCAAGCCTGAGTTCAGTAGCATTTTCATTTTCTCATCAGGAGTACCTGTATGATTTTTTAATGAAAGTAGTTAAAATTTGCCTATACTTTGGCAGCTAAACTGATGCATTATTGAATAAGCCCTTTTCCTACATTTCTTATACCTTCATAAATTTAGGGTGGAAATACTGAAGTCTTTATTATACTTTTGGTTGTAATTTCTAATTGTGGGTCCATCCTGTTCTTAGGCTCCTCATTAAAACAGAACAAGTTGGAGACTGGGATATAAAGCAAATTAAATACTTCTCCTCTAGGGCAAAACCCAGTGATTCTTCCCTGACAAACCCCACTCCAAAACACAGGAGACTCACCCTATATTGAACAACAGTTGAACTTTATTACATTGAATTTTTTTTCTGAAATGCTCTTTACCACTATACTTAAACACCAGCACCAGATAGGAAACTCTGCAAGAATTTTGTTTTATCTTGTTCCCTAAGTATTTATAGCCTGTTGTGAAGAAACACTGACAGCAGTGCAGTGGTGTTTTTATTCTTGATAGAGATGCCATTAAAAGCGAATTTGCTTTGAAAATTTTTCATAGAACCAGGATATTAGAGCTATAAAGATATATTTCTCTCTCTTGTGCCTAATTGGATTTCCAAAATAAGTTGTTAACAATCCAGCTTCGATAATGTGGTCATGAAAAGTATGTCCAAATCCACCAATTTGCATTGGTTTGGTTTGGCTTAATGTTCAAAGTTCTTGGAGCAGAAAGTTGATGGCACGTGAACACTATAATTGGCTTTATATTCTTGGATTATTTTTTTCTCTCTGCCATATTGTATAGTGTCTGGACCAAAGTGAATTTATAACAATAACAACGCACTTGTATACTCCAGATTATTTTGCAAGATGTAATATCCTCCAGTTTACAAGGTAGTTTGTCATTGTCACTCAATCTGGTTAATTTATATAGGTTCAAACTGATGCTATTAATGTGCAATGATACTATTTCACCCAAAGTGACATGCATTGCTTACATTTTTATATATCCAAAAAGATTAAGAACCAAATTGAGTTAGATCCTAATAAAAGTTAATATTTTGGTTTGGGGCTTGTTTTTCTGTTTGTTTGTTTTGTTTTTCCTCTTTACTTTCTGGGTTAGTCTCCAATTTATTTGATGCAATTCTTAATCCCGTACCACAAGAGTCTCACATTCTTATGCTGGGAATTACTCTCACTCTCCACTTACTAAAACAGAATGAAACTCTTCAGATTTAGGATAGAATTGCATTACTTAAGCATTTTAGTAATTTCCATTTACTTATATGTTACATATCCAGTAGATGGATAACTTCCAAGTCTTCTTGATTACCAAATCCTTTTTGATTTCTCTTAAATAAACTTTTTCTTTATTCCTCTGTAACCAAAGTGGATCTTCCTGAAATGAATCATCACTCTCAGTATTATGTTGCAGAACACCCACAGGTGCAGGGTTGAAAATTGTCTAATAAAAGACATAGATAACCAGTGTATAATATCAAATTATTATTCATTTCTAAAATAGATTATTTAATGTAAACCGAATCGAGATGTTCCTAGCAGGATAGACATAAAACAAGAACTGTATTTTGTAGAGAGAGAAAACAAACACACAGAAACCCCAAAATAATTCATTTGTTTTCAGACTGCATCAAAAGGAAAAGTAAATCTTTTCAAGTGTGTCAAGATCAGTGAGGAATACCTCCAAGCAGTTGAGTCCACTGGCTATGGCACTCATCTGCCAAGACATGATGCAAGTATTTTTAAAAAAGAACTTGAACCTCTGCTCCTTCCTATTCAAGAGTTACTACATCCAGCTTTCTGGGCTTTTGGACTTGTTTTCACTCACTCTTATAGTTCTAGTTTTTCCTTTGTTCCTACCTTGAATAGAAAAAAAGAAATCTGCCTAGATACATTGTCAGGAAATATTTTTCTGAAAATTTTTCGTTTTGACAAATTAGCGTTTTCCAAGAGAAAGGCTTTCTCTGAAATTGCTTGCCAAAAGCTAATTAAAACTTCTGTTTCAAGTGATGAGTAGCCTTAAAAAACCTGGTTTGTGTAGATTCTCTTAGTTTCTAATATACTTGCGAGTTTTAAATGTGAAATGACAATCCACAGTTTAGTGTTTTCAATTTTTAAGCATGCAGATTTGGTCGTTGTTGCACAATAGCTAATTCTCCCGGGAAAGGAGAGCAGTTCCCATGTGCTTTGAAATGCTACAGCTATGCAACTGGGGCTGGAAGTGCTATTTTAAACAGTCATATCAGCAGAGCTTGCTGTAGGAGATAATATGTCACAAAAGGGAGTATGACATCTAGTTTCACCTAGAAGATAAACCTTGAGTAGATATGCAGAGAGAAACAAGACTGTCAGGTTGTCCTTGAAAAGAATGGCCTATATTAATGAAGAAATGTACTCCAGGGCATATGCTATTTGGGATATTTAATTTCATCTTCAAACTTGTCTGATCTGCTATGAAGAATGTAGCAGAGAAACGGTAGTTGTGTGTAGTCTCACGCACATCAGGATTTCAGAGTGGGCATCTCGCCGCTTTATTTTCAGAAAGGTCACAGCCTCAGAAATTCATGTCTGAAAAACCCAGGCCTCAGACTGAGAATATTCACTGTTAATACAAATACGCCAGGTTTTCGAAGGGCCAGCGCAGCATCGCGTGTGTCCCAAAGAACCCTTCTTTATGAGCACAAGAGCGAATTCGCTCTTCCTTTCCCGTCACACTCAAATATCCTTGCAGAATGGTATTCTGCTGACAGAATTACAAGATAATTATAGCTAGGTGGTTTGTATTCACTTAAGTTAATCTACCACTTTTATTTCTCATTGTTGTTTCAGTCAGGCAGGACCCACTTCAGCTGTTGTCAGGTGGATTATTTTTCCGTCGTTCACAACACCGCTCT